CCGCTTGACTTCAAGTCTAATGGCCCATATATATATATATATATATAATTATACAAGCACATAAATACATATATATATTTTTATTTTTATTTTTATTTATTTTTATATATTTATTTATATAATTTTTTATTTTATTTTTTTTTTTTTTTATTTTAAATATTGTAAATAATTGTTTTTGTTATTTTCCCTCATTTTTGGATATATTTAATTTTATATATTATAATTTTTTTTTGACTATTAATATTACAATATTATTATTTTTTTAGAAATTTTATTTTGTAATTATATTTATAATTAAATAGATTTTTAATTTAAGTAGATAAATTAATATAATATTTTATTATATTTTTTTTAATTTAATATAAATTTTACATTTATAATTATATATTTTTAAAATATATATTATATATTCTTATATATAGATCTTATTTCAACATATAATATCAATAAAAAAAAATTAATAATTTTTTTTTAATATTTTTTATTCAATTTTAAATAAAATTTATAATATAATAAAATATATTTTTTATTAATTTTGTTTATATAAAAATATTTAATATAAGTTTTGATTATTTTCATTGTTTAATTTCTTATTCTGCTCTTTATTCTTTAATATATATAATTAATTTAACTTAAAAATTAAATCATATTTTTATTACTTTATTTTAAAGCTAATAATTAAACAGTAGTCAATGTACTGCCATTATTAGTATTACCAGTAGATATATTTTACTTTTATTATAAAAATTTATCCAATTTGTCATCTAATTTTTAGTGTTTATTTTAATTCAATTATTATCTAACATTAGGATCTTTACTGTTTTTAGCTAAAAAATTATCCAATTTACTATCAAGCTTTTCATGGATTTCTATATAAAATAAATATTTAAATAATAAATAATTAATATTATACTTTATTTTTTTAATGTGGGATCTTAGTTAACTAAAAATTTGTCTAGTTTATCATCTAAATTTTCATGATTAAATTTGCCTTTTCTGAAATTTTTTCTTCTATTATTATTTCTATCATTATTATTATTTTTTCTATTATTTTTTTTCATATTATTGCTATTATTATTACCATTATTTCTTCTATTCTTTAAATTATTATTTTATTTATTTATAATTTTTAGTTTAAAAATTTTACATTAAATCTTTTGTTTTATATTCTGTTTCCGTTTTATCTTTAATTATTATTATTTTATCTAACCATTTTTTTTTTTATTATTATTATTATTTTTGATAGATATAAATAATTTATTTTTTAAAATTAATATTTTATAATTCTTTATTTATTTATTTATGGAATAGAAAAATCCTAAAATATAAATATTATTTTTTTTATATAAAAATTAATTAAATAAAATCTTTTTTATTTATTTTATTAATTAGATATTGGATTTTTAAATAATAAAAATTAAATATAAAAATTTTATTTAAATATTTTATATTTTCTTTTATATATAAAAAAAAAAAATCTATTAAATAAATAAATATCATATATTAATATTTTCGAAGAATATATATTAATTATTTTTATTTATATAAATAAAAAAGAGGGAAAAATAAAAAAAGGAAATAAAGAGTTGATAAAATATTTTATAAAAATACTAAATTATAATTATATATAAAAATTAATAATAATTAATTTATAAAATATATAATTTTCGAATAAATAAATGCCATTTTCAAACTCTTTTAAGATAATATTTTTCTGCTTTTTTTTTAGCAGCAGAATCTAAATAAATCTATAATAAAAAAAATATATATATATATATATATATATATATATATATATATATATATATATATATATATATAAATTATAAATATAACCTATTAAGCAATAAATGCTGCACCTAATAAATAAATAATATAAGCAGATTAAGCTTAAACTTATTTAGTGTACGCTTTAGTTGTAGTTTCATAAAATGAAACTCTGGGTGCCCATTGTGTTGCTAAATAACTTTTATAAAAATTATATAATCAAAATGTTATTTTTAAAAAATATTTATTTTTTTCTGTTACTATCCATAAGAAAAATAGCTTCTTACATTAATAATTGATTTATTTGAACGAATAGATGTGGATGTAACGTAAAGGAATCTTGTCCAGTTATCAAATAATCTTTAAGAAACTTTGTTCATTTTATATAATTTTGTTAATTTTATTTTTATATTTTTTTTTAATTTTATAAATTATATTAATTATATATACATATTAAAAATAATATTTTAATAATTTATATAATATTTATTATATTTTGTATTTAAATTATCTATATTTAAGTCATTTTTTATATATATATAAAGTAAAATTATTTTATATTAAACTTTATTATATTATTTATTTATAAATTTTTTATTTATTGTTTTTAATATAAATATATTTTATTTAATTTCTTTTTATGTAAAATACTTATTTTTGAATAATTTTATTATTTTTTATCTATTTATTTTTCTTTCATTTAACTATTTTTTCTAATTTTATACTTTTTATAATAAATATATTTTTTAGAGTTTATTGTTTTCAGATATAAATTATTTTTTCATAATCTTTTTTTTTTTTTTTCTTAATTTTTGTTTATCATTATATTTAATTATTTTATCATATCAAATTATAATTTTTTTTTTCATTTTATTTTTTTTGAGATTTTTTATTTTTTTAAGAAATTTATATAAACTTTTAATATTTATATAATATATTATAATAATATTTTTTAATTAACTTTTTACTATTTTTATTTTAAAAATATTAAATAAAAAAATAATAATTTAAATAATATTTATATAAAAAAGTTTATATTAGAACAAATATTTATTCTTAATATAAATATTAATATTTTACTTATTTTTTAAAAAAAAAATAAAAAAAAGACAATTTAATTATTTTAAAGAACCGAATATATTATTTATATAAAAAAATATAAATAATAATAATTTATTTTTATCTCAAATAAAAAATCGATTATATATTTATAAAATTAAATGGATTCAAACAAATTGAATAATATTGCAATTTATATAGACTCTTAAATATAATAAAATTTAAATTTAGGAGAAAAACCATTAAAAATAACTCCTTTATAAATATTAAAACCATTAAAAGATGATTCATAATACATATCATAAGAATATTTAATAAAGACATCATAAAATTTAACATTTAAACATTTTGGATATAATAACAATTCCGATAAAATAGATGATTTTGGGTGGGGATGTGCATGACGATCAATTTAAATGGTTCTTTCAAGTACTTACATAGATAAAATGTATTCCTTTGAATATTTATATAATAATTTTGGAAGCAAAGATGTATTATTGGCTATATATAATAAAAAAAATAAACAAATTCCTTCGTTTTTATCTTCTTCAAATTTCTCACCCCATACATAATCAAATGGATGGGCGGAGCCTTTTATATTGTCTTTAATATTGGATTATTTAGGAATAGATAATGAGTTAATAATAATAACAAATTTATAAAATAAATAAATTTCAAAAGTATAATCGAATGCTCCTGAGTAGATATTTAAAGAAAAAGAAAAATTTTAGTCCTGAATTAATAGATTAATTCTAAAAAATATTAAAAAAAGTCCGATTATGATAGACGATGGTATTTATGCCAAGATTTTATACTAAATAGAAAAAAAGAAGTCGAAAATTAAGTTTTTATAAATTTTAAATAGCTGATCCTCATTTAAAGACTGAAAGAAATTTCTATTTTGATAATAATAAATAATAGATAGGCACATATGAAATTTTATTAGATTTTTAAGGATAAATGATATAAAAAGAAGGTAAATTTTTAGACGAAAAATTTTATTATTCAAAAGCTAGAAGCAAAAATTGTTTTTTAGAAAAAGAATGGATGGCATGTTTTCCGGTTTTAAAATGAAAATATTATTTTAAAAATTAATATTAAAAAGAATATAATTAAAATATTTTTTTGTTTATATATATATAAAAATATTTTATAGATAAAAAAAATATATTAATTATAATAAAAAAAACTTTATATATTAATTGTAATGTATTAATATTTTTTTTATTATTTTATAAAATATGTATGTTATTTGATAGTATTTTTTTAATAAATTAAACTTGTAAAAATTCTTAAAAAAATTAATGATTTATTGATAAAAAAAATAAAATATTTTTAGATAATAATTATTTGATTAATATAAAAATGCAGAAATTTATAGACATATAAAGATATATATATTGATATATTTATGTATATATATATAAATATTATAAAAATATAAATTATAATATA